TCACTTCTTATATAGGCGATATTTATATGATAACTGAATCATATAAATAAGGTAACTAAATCCTATAAACAAGGAAATAATCATTATCGAAAATGGGATCAACACCATCCTTCAAGATTCTGAAGATAGTCGTTCAGAGCATAGACCAACCAGAGGGCCTCTGGTCCTAAAGCACATAGAGTGCAGAAACTCTAGTCTATATAACCAGAGGCTCTGGTCATCCAAAAGAGCTCTGGTCCTAAAGGACTTAGAGTCCAGAGGCTCTGGTCTATACAACTAGAGGCTCTGGTCGTCCAGAGGAGCTCTGGTCCTAAAGGACTTAGAGTCCAGAGTCTCTGGTCTATACAACTAGAGGCTCTGGTCGTCCAGAGGAGCTCTGGTCCTAAAGGACTTAGAGTCCAGAGTCTCTGGTCTATACAACAAGAGGCTCTGGTCGTCTAGAAGAGCTCTGGTCCTAAAGGACTTATAGTCTAGAGTCTCTGGTCTATACAACCAGAGGCTCTGGTCGTTCAGAGGGGCTCTGGTCTTCTTCCAGACTTAGTCATTTTAGCACAACAACATCTTCAAATCTTCCATCCTTGGCCCCGATTGCTTGATAAAACTTTTAGAATAATTAGGATCAATTTTGGTCTTAACAATCTCCTCCCAAAGTTTTATAAAGCAAGCATCCTTATGAAGCCTCCTAGTCTTCTCCCCCCTGCTTTCTTCAATAAAGCATTAGTGTGCTTGGAACGGATGGAATCTTCAAGCTCCCCCCTGAATGTAGCTCTCCAATCTTGATTTTCAACTCTTAGACCAAATCAGATTCAATGTGAATGCAGCACCACTGATTGCACATAATGCAGCTTTAATATGCCTACAACCCAGCACATACTTTGAAGTACAGAATAGCCACTCAACCCCAAAAGTAGCAAATTCATCCAACTAAGGGATAGATAAATGTGTGAATTTCTTGACAAAACAGTGCAACCAGTCTTATGATAAAGAATCTTTCGTTGAACCACAAGTTGAGTAGGAATTCAGCTTTAGAGCTTGATCCAATTGAAGATAACTTGAATAACCAACAAACACCATTGGAATTGAGAATTGGAGAGAAGAATTAACATTAAGCTTTATTGCTTCAAGAACAGCAGGTCAATTCAAAGAAAATTGACAGTATTGTTGTTGATGCTTCTAAGGGCAAAACATGAAGGAATATCACCATATTCATATAGGATTGGTGATTGCAGGTAAATAAATCTTTAAGCTCTTACAAATTCAGATTTACATGGAGAGACGATGAACAAATACTCAAGATATGGGCGATAAGTATAGGTTTGACAAACAAAACGCCTATTGCGTTAGACCGTGAGCACCATGAACTCCTGCTTAACGCCTATGCGTAGATCTAACAAAATCAAGGTTCAAAAGTTCGACTGACTCCAAGAAATTCCTTCAAATAAACCAAATTTTTATGATGAAAATAGGTTTGTATTCATCCAAGAACAAATATCTTAAATGGAATTTGATTAAAACATTTTATCATATGAAGAATCGATGAATTTTGGATCCAAACTGTAGTCGAACAGGAAGCAGTTCATGAAAGAGTATTGTTCAAGAAAATTGAATCTACTGTAGAAAGATCGAATCGATTAGAAGTTAATCAATTTGGCTTTAATACCAATTGATAAACCCAGATCTGCCAGTAGAACAATTTAACAGGAATATAAAATGGGAGATTTGTAGAAGAAGATGAATATAAATTGGCCGCCGCTTTTTTTATTGAATACAAACTCTCTCAAAAACCCTAATCGACTCTCATGTGATGTGTTTGAATCTGTGTGTTACAAAGTGTTGATCATTTATCTCACTTCTATTCTATGCCTGTATGACTTCTTATATAGGCGATATTTACATGATAATTGAATCCTATAAATAAGGTAACTAAATCCTATAAACAAGGAAATAATCATTATCGAAAATGGGATCAGCACCATCCTTCAAGATTCTGAAGATAGTCGTCCAGAGCATAGACCAACCAGAGGATCTCTAGTCCTGAAGGATTTAGAGTGCAGAGGCTCTAGTCTGTACAAGCAGAGGCTCTGGTCGTCCAGAGGAGCTCTGGTCCTAAAGGACATAGAGTCCAGAGGCTCTAGTCTTCTTCCAGACTTAGTCGTTTTAGCAAAACAACATCTTCAGATCTTCCATCCATGGCCCCGATTGCTTGATAAAACTTTTATAATAATTAGGATCAATTTTGGTCCTAACAATGTATCTTCCAAAATAAACAATCTCATGCAGATCTTTAAAAGCATATATCAAGTAAGGAAAATAATCACATTTTCCCCTTCCGCTTAATATCCCTGGACCCCAGAGTTCCTGCATTGCATATTTTTAAAACAGAAAATGAGGGTTAGCCCAGATGGGTCTAGCGAGTAAATCCCTTCTTTGCATATGCAGGGTGATAAACACCAAAGTATGATAAAATAACTTTATCCATAAATATTTGCATCTCAGTCAAATATTACAGTTTTCAATATGATGAATAATAAGATCAACTTATTAATATCAGTTCTTGATGCAAATGCACCTATTCAAAGATTCAATATTCCAAAAATGGAATTTTAATACTACGGCCAAAGCCCCTCTGACTCAAAGGACTAGAGCCTCTCTAGTTAAAAAGATCAGAATTCTTCTGTATGTATTACAATATTTATAGAAAGTTTAGGCAATAAATGCCTCTTATGACAAACCATTTTCTTCTTCTCAATAACTTCTAATTTATTATTTCTAACAAGAATAATAGCTCTAATTCATCAAGTCACAAAGAAATGATGATTCAAAGTTACTATATCTAATTAGTGATAATAATAAGAGTTATAATAATATCCACATATGACAATGCCATCCTTATTCCAAGTGCACCTCTCCTTGATATGCCACCCTTATTCCTCCATCGAAACAGGGCTACTTACCAGAACAGACATAAGTCACCACGTCTGGAAGTAGCCATCACCCAGTTCCAAGCCAGAACAGACAAATGTCACCACGTTTGGGGAAACTACCTCTTAAAACATGTTTCATACCAAAAGAGACTTACGTCACCACGCTTGGTAGAAACATTTCCCAAAAGTCCAGTTTCATACCAAAACAGACTTATGTCACCATGCTTGGTAGAAACGTATCTTTTTATTTTAAAAGATATAAAATACCCCTTTTTCACATTAACATATTAAACCCAATAATTATAAATTTGTGAATATTCCAAAGATTCCAACACTTGTAAATTTTATACCAAGATTATCTGGATAAACTATCAGGACAGGTTATCCGGATAACACAGTACCTTTGTCCGATTTACAATTACACCGGGTAACCTTTGATCAATTTATAACTAAACCGAACAACCCTTGATCGTATAACCCCACAGCCGGACAACCCCACACTCTCATATATCTCAAACTTGGTTTCCTTCCTATCCATATTCCATATGGTGTTTTAGGAATAGACTTGGAAAGGACTCGGTTGAGTATGTGGACGGCTGTCTTTAGTGCCTTGGTCCATAAAAAATCTGGGAGACTTGTATTTGCCAGCATACTTCGCACCATGTCCATAAGTGTACGGTTTCTCCTTTCAGTAACACCATTTTGTTGTGGAGTACCAGGCATGGTGTATTGATTTATTATCCCATTACTTTTACAAAATTCATAAAAGGATTTGGGACTTTGACCTAAATCAGTATGTCGGCCATAATATTACCTCCTCTATCCGATCTTACAACCTTTATCTTCCGGTCAAGTTGATTTTCAACTTCAACCTTAGAGGTCTTGAACATCTCTAATGCATCGGATTTTTCATGGATAAAAAGTAAGTACATATAACGCCAATAATCGTCAATAAAAGTGATAAACGATTTTTGACCTCCAAATCCCGCCAAAAAAAGGACCACAAATATCAGTATGGACTAGCTCAAACAATTCCGTACTTCTAGTAGATCCTTTCTTATTCCCTTTGGTTGTTTTTCCCTTAATGCATTCAATACACTTTTCAAAATCCGAGAAATCAAGATTTGGTAAAACTTCATCTTTCATAAGTCTTGTCATTCTATCTCGTGATATATAGCCCAAGCGTTTATGCCACAACATTAATGAAGTTTCTAAATCTCGTTTTCTCTTATTCTTCCTTAAACATTTAAAGACAATAACGATTCCGGAAAATGGTTATACAAACATAATTTATAAAGGTTTCCCTCTAGACAACCATAACCAACAACATCCGAATACAACCTTATTATACATTTATTATCACCAAATGTAAAATAGGACCCATAGTCATTTAGTTTAGAAACAGATATAAGGTTTCTAGTAATACTTGGTACATATAGAGTTTCATACAATTCTAATGCCGAACCACCTTCTAGTACTAATGTAAGTGTACCAACTGCTTCAACTCCCAAATCCAAGCCATTTCCGACTTTAGCCGTCCGTTGGTTTCTTTCCGGCTTCCTTATTGTACAGAATCCTTGTAAAGAATTTGAAATGTGTATCATGGAACCGGAATCAATCCACCATGTATTAGAAGGTACATAAACATTAAGTGATTCACAAATCATAAAATTAGAGGTATTACCTTTCTTCGCTAGCCATTCCTTAAACTTTGGACAATCCGTTTAAGTATGTCCCTTGTTACGACATATGGTTGATTGCTTCTCTTTGTTACTATAATCTGATGGATAGATTTTGTATGTTTTGTTCCCTCTATTTATTAGAGAGTTGCGGAAATTTTTAGAGGGAAAGATACTAACATGAGAAACAAATAAACCCAAGGGGTGTGACTTTTCTAAGGGTGTGACTTTTCCAGGGGTGTAACTCTCCATCACATTTACTCCCATTATTATACTTAGGTTACTCCAAGAAATATAAAAGAAAATATACTTATATATATAAATAAACGATCAAGGAAACAAATTTTATGAGATTCCAATAATAATAACTAGATTAGGTTATTTTTTTAGTTTCAGATTTGTAGAATGTGGTAGCCAATAGTTTCATTTACTGTAATACTTAACCATACAAGACCCACAGGGATAAAAAATAACGAATTTAATTGATTACATTAAGCTACGAGCCTCATCATGGTCGTCCTCGTCGACTTTGCTAGGAAAAAGATCATGACAAAGCTCGCCATAAAATCTACACACCAGGTTAATGAACAGAGGACTCTTGAGGTTCTTCCAGCAGTAAAGTAGCTCCTCAACATCAACCAAATCTCTCATTTTCCCCTCTTCTGCTATCATTTTCACCAAATAATTCTCGAAACTCTGGCAAGCATGTTCGGCCACATCCTCGTCTTCTTGGACCTGCATGTTTTCCATATCATCAACTCTTCTCATCTTGATATATGCTGGGGTAAGAGGTGATGGGCACGGTTCTTTTCCAGCTTCCGAGAAGCTCTTGAGCTCCATGACTCGATCCATGTCTCTTGTCTTTCTGGATGACCTGAAAAGTGATGTTAAGCCAGAAAAGTGGTGTCTGTTAGAAGATGTGGTTGTGGTTTTTGATTTGCGAGATCGACGACTTCTTTTGAAGATTGGTTTTCTGAGTTTGAACTTGAAAAGGTGTATGAAGTTTTTGCATGGGTTGGTGAAGAGTTTCTTGCAGGTGAAGGAAAGTAAAGGTTTGGTGGTCATCTTTAATTATTGCAAGTAAGCAGTCTGTGGATGAAGCAATGCGAATTAAAGAATGATGATGATGAAGTGTGTGTGTGTGTGTATATGGAGGGACAAAGTTCTTGAGAGCTTGGCTAAAATGGAGGTTGGTGTTGGCAGAAGTTGTTAATGGAGGATTTATATTAAATTTAAGTAGGTGGATGGAAATGAGTGGGTATCACATCTTTCCATTGATAAAAGTGGTGTTCCATGAACATATCATTTTGGCAGCTTGCTAATTGACTTTTATCTTTTAAAACTGGAGTAATATTTAAATCACTTGAATCAATTTATCCAAAAAAGAAATAAAAGGAAAATACAAGTTATTAAGAGAAGGAGATACTTGTCTACATAATACCTCCAAAAATTAGATTCTTTCTATGAGAATCGACAATGATCCATAAAGTCACATGTGTTTGAAGGTACACTCAATGAATTTAAAAAAAATCCGATGTCCAATGATTCATAATAACAAATAAGGTTTGGTTCAAAACTTTTAATTGCTGAAGCTGTAAACACTATATGTTTTATTTAAAATCGATCGTTAATTGTTAAGAGATTTAAGAAAACAGTTTATGAACTTTTTCATAGTAGAAAGCCCACTCTCAGCTTTCTACATATCTACTACATATTAAACAATAGAGATAACCTTGAAAAATTCGATCCTGAATCTGATGAAGGAATCTTTCTTGTATATTCTTCATCCATGGCCTGCAGAGTATTCAACAAAAGAAGAAAAACCATTGAGGAAACTATTCATGTCACTTATACTGAATCTCAATCAGCTAACTCTAAACCTATTTCCGATGATGAAGAAGAGTTAGACAGATGGATAATATCTCACTTTGGTGAACCTAAAGCTTCATTTCGCAATCAATCGAACGCTGATCACCCAGAAGTTGATGATGATTCATATATTATGCCCAGCATCACCAATAATGGAGTTGAATGTTCTTCAGGGATCTCTGCAATTCCCAACAGTCATTTGCCACCCTCTAATTCAAATATTGATCCTCCCGTCACTGAATCTCCTTCAGTCATTGAATCTCCTTCTATCATTGAACCTCTCTCAGTAAATGATTCCTTACTTGAGGCTCCTTCAGTCACAGCCGCAAGCTCCATGTTAGACCCCATCTTGTGAAACTGTAAATAGGACTTAGTCTATAGAAGCTGTCTGGCTAAGAGCTCTCATGCAGAAGATCAAGAACCAGAGCTCTTACTCAGAGTGAAGGTTCCATTCATACAGAGCCCACGCTCTATCTCCGTGGACGTTCAAGCCTTGTGCGCCAAAAAGCATAAGCGCTTTACTTAAAGCTACAATTCCAAGACCCAGAGCTTCTGCATATGCAGAGCCTCTGATAGTACATGCAGAGCTTCTGGCTACCTTCTCCATGGAACGCGCGCATGTTAGCCCAGACATTCTCGCAAGCATCTAACAGATGCGGCTTGACCAAGTCTGCTCTGCTTTTCAAGGGAAGTCAAAAATAAGGATGCAGACTAGTCAGCTCAGAGTTTCAAGTCTATTTTATAGCATAGTTTGTTAGACCTAGGGGTATATAAGGAGGCTTCCTCCTCAGGTTCAAATTACTTGAAGGAACCGACTTATACTATAAGCATTTTCTGTGATAGTACGTTTTGCTTTAATTGTTCATTGTTTTATCAATAAAAGCATTCAGCATATTCAAGTTTACTCATTATTCTTAATTTCATCTTGAATATCTCGTTTAATCTTTCAAGTTACACTGTTTGTGTTTAATTCTCATCTTTTATAAACCGTGTTTCGACCAATTAAGAGTATTTGAGTTCAACACTCCATATCGCGAGTCGGATACTGTTTCTCACAAAGAAATGCTAACTCTGAATATCGTATCTTATGGATATTACAACAAGAGTTATAAATGTAACACAGATCTCACAATTGCCATCCTTATCCTAAGATACGTCTCTCCTTGATATGTCACTCTTATTCCATGGTACACCTCTCATTGATATGCCACCTTTATTTCCTCATAAAATGTAATCAAATTTGATATTTTAACCAATAATGGCCTCAAAACAGTTTCATCTCAAAAACGTTATATGAAGAACTTTCACAGTTCTAAACCCAGTTCCAATGTCATCCTAGAACAACTTTCAAAAACATTCAATTCGGGCGATGCTTTGTCTGATAAACACCTTCACCAGAAAAAGCGTTGGGTGTTGAATCACCCAATTCGGTCAACACTTGAAATCTTTAAATACTCAATTCGGTTAATACTTGGGTGATAAGATACCCTATCCGGACAATACCTTGTTAGATAAAAGTCCTCATCGAACAACGTTTTGTCCGATAAAAATCCTTATCGGACGATACTAAAATTAAACAAGTTTCCTCATCGGACAGTGCTTCAAGCGATAAGGTATATACATATAACATTTTTCTTCATAATTATCAACATAAAGAACTGGATACTATCAAAAGCATCATATTCTGATTCAAAAACTTTTGTAAAACTCAACTTATGATGTAAGAATTTGAATATGAATTACCAGCAAATAGATCCAAATTTGATCAACACTTTCTCTGTGCAAAAACACAGTTCACTCTCACTTTCTTTCTAAAAATGGCAAGCGAATGCCTTACAAAATTTCTCCATTCTATACTCTTGCACAAAATAAGGTGGGGAATGTCCATATTTTAAAACTCCTTCCTTCATAATCACATAAACATATACATGCATATATATATATATATATGCATATATATATATCATGATTTATAATAAATAAACAAATAATCACTTTGGAGATTTTACTTACCAATTCAAAACCGCCCAATTTGTATAACCGGAACCCGGATATATTTTCTTAGAATATCTCATAGATATCATTTCACTAGATTGTTATCTCGTAGACTAGATTGCTTGTATAAATAGCCCTCTCATGTCTTGTAAATAATTAATTCCTTCTCGTAAAAGTTATTATAGTGAAATCATTTGAAGCTTCACTAATATTCTATAAGTTGTTCTTCACTATTCTTCATACATACGTTAAATTTAGGTTCTATAACATAAATCTTCGTGTTATATTGAGAGATATGGGATCAACACAATCAATAGAATAACCATGGATATTCTAATCTCATTTCTAATTCCAACTCCCAAGTTGCTTCTGAACCCTTATGGAAATGCCACTGAACTTTCACGAGATTGATTTCTTTGTATCTTAACACTTTGGTTTTCCATTCAGTGACGGCCTCAGGTGTTTCCACAACGTTCAACTTGTTATCCAATTTTACCTCAGGTAATGGTACTGCCAGACTCAGATCTGCCAAACACTTTCATAGGTTAGAAACATAGAAAGTATTATGAATCGAGCTGAGTTCCTTCGATAGTTCTAACTGATAAGCAACCAATCTGACCCAATTGAAAATTGTTAACGGTCAAATATACCTTGGACTGAGCGTACCTCTCTTTCTTAATCTAACAACATTATTCCATGGAGAAACTTTCAACATCACGAAATCTCCTACTAGAATCGGTTTATGATGCTTATCTGCGTAACTCTTCTCTCGATCCCGAGTTGTCTTAATATGTTCACGTATATGCTCAATCTTCTTAGAAGTTACTTGAACTATCTCTAGACCAGTTAACTGCCTTTCTCCCACCCCATTCCAACACAACAACTTCTGCACTTTCGGCCATACAAAACCTCATTAGCTGTCGTTTGGATGCTGGAGTGATAACTGTTATTGTAAGCAAATTCAATCAAAGACATATGATTTTCCCAAGATCCCCCGAATTCAATAATACAAGCTCTTAACATGTCTTCGAGAGTTTTGATTGTTCTTTCACTTTGCCTATCGGTTTGTGGATGATACGCTCTACTCAATTTGATTTGAGATCCCATGGCTCTTTGAAAACTCTCCCAGAACTGAGGTAACCCGACTGTCTCGATCTTAGATGATGGATAATGGAACACTATGTCGAGTTACAATCTCTTCGATATAAATCTTCGCCAACCTTTCTAAAAGATAATTCTTTTTAAGTGGTAGAACGTGTGCAGATTTAGATAAACGCTCTATGATAACCCATATAGCAACATACCCTTTTGGAGTTTGCGTAATTTCATGAAAAAATCCATCGTGATATGATCCCATTTTCATACAGAAATCTTTAAAGACTGCAGATTCCCATATGGTCTTTGATGCTCGATCTTACTTGTAGACACGTTATACACCGTTCCACATACCTCGCGATATCTTTCTTCAATCCTAGCCACCAAGAAAATGGTTTTAAATATATATACATTTTATTAGTACCCGAATGAATCAAATATCAGGATTTGTGACTTTCATCCAAAATTAACTCCCGGATATTCCTAAAACGCGGTATCCAAATCCTTCCTTCATAATTCCCTTGTCATTCTTTACCAAGATTGAAATCATCTTGCCAACTCTTTCCGCTTTGAAATTATTTTCTTTAACAACTTCATCTTGACATCTCAAAATTTCACTATGAAGATCCGGAGTCAATTTTGTTCTCATTGCAACGGCTTTGATCGTACCACTCCTTTCTTTTCTACTTAGAGCATCAACTACCGCAGTTGCTTTTCCCAGATGGTAAAGAATTTCACAATCATAATCTTTATCCAATTCAATCCACCGTCGTTGCCGCATGTTCAACTCTTTCTGGTTAAACAAGTGTTGAAGGCTTTTATGATTTGTGAAAATATGATATTTAGTTCCCAACAAATAATGCCTCCAAATCTTTAATGTGAATACCACGACCACAAGCTCCATATCATGAGTTGGATACCGTTTCTCATGATCATTCAATTGTCTGATGATATCCCGACCGTAAATCAATTTTAGAAAATAATTAGCTCTAACCAATTGATCAAATAAATCATAGATTCTTGGTAAGGGATATTTGTTCTTGATTTTCAGCTTATTCAGTTCTCTGTAGTAGATACACATCCTCATAGACCCGTCCTTCTTTTTAACAAACAGAACCGAAGCACCCCAAGATGAAGTACTCTATTTGATGAAGCCTTTATCAAGTAATTCTCTCAATTG